TATATATATATATATATATATATATATATATATATATATATATATATCTGAATCACTTTGCTGTACATCTGAAACTAACACAACATTGTAAACTAACTATGCTTCAAGTTTTTTTTAATTAATTAATTTATTTGTTTTTGGCTGTGTTGGGTCTTCGTTGCTGTGCGCAGGCTTTCTCTAGTTACGGCAAGCGGGGGATACTCTTTGTTGTGGTGCACGGGCTCTCGGCACGTGGGCTCAGTAGTTGTGGCTCACAGGCTCAAGAGCACAGGCTCAGTAGTTGTGGTGCATGGGCTTAGTTGCTCTGTGGCATGTGGGATCTCCCCAGGTCAGGGCTCGAACCCATGTCCCCTGCCTTGGCAGGAAGATTCTTAACCACTGCGCCCCCAGGGAAGCCTGCTTCAATTTTTAAAAATGGTAAAACAAAGTTTTTTAAAAATGTTTACCAGTGCCAAATGATAGAATATTTTAATTTTCCCATACTGGTTGGCAAATAGCCACTCCTCCCCGCCACCTGAGGCTCCTCCCCTGTGTCACCTACACACCTGCCAGTCTGTCCTGGGGTCACCGGCAAGAGAGCAAGGATCAGGAGGATGGGCAGGCAGAATGAGAGCTTCCCTCAAGCCTGACCCCAGGGCTTTCCCTGGGTGAGTGCCCTTGTGCAGTGAAGGGGAGTAGGTCAGACATGCTGCTAGAGGCTCAGGTGGAGGTCCTGCTCTCAGCAACCCTTGGGGCTGTGCTCAGGAGAGGTGGTGGATGGAGAAGTGCTGGGCACCACCCAGTGCTTGCGGATCTGCCCCCGGAGCTGCTGGTGGTGGAGCAGATACTGTGAGTTCCATGCCTGCTCTGTGCCCCTGAACACTCACTATTAAGGGCCCCCAAAGAACAAAGGTCTTTCAATGAATAAAGTTTCCTCATTTCCTCACAGTTGGATCACTAGATCTTGTCTTTGATACTTAGGGCATTTTTGTGTTGTTTAGGAAATCCTCACCTACCCCAAGGCCTAAACAAATATTTACCTATATTTTCTACTAAGAGTTTTAAAGCATTAATTCTTTTGAAACGTTTGATTCTTTTGCCCTTCACCCAGAACCACTAATTGTTAACATTTTGCCACATTTGCTTTCTCTTCTCAATTTATGTATATATGTATGTATGTATGTAGTGTATACACACAGAAATATTTAAAACTTTATTTTCTGAACCACTTGGGAGTAATTTGCAGACATAATTCCCCTTTACCCTTAAATACTTAATGTGTATCTCTTAAGAACAAGGACATTCTCTTACATAATCACAGTACAGTTATCAAAATCAAGAAATTGCACATTGATCTAGTACTATCTAATATTTGATGAGTATTATCTAATTACCTAATGAGGTGAAAAACGGCCTCTGTGCACCAGTGCCAAATCGAATCTCAGAGACAGAGTTTTGGGTGAAGTAGAGAAGAGTAGCTTTATTGCTTTGCCAGACAAATGGGGACACAGTAGGCTCCTGCCCCGAAAAACTGTGTGTCCCAACCTGGGAGGATTGGATGAGGAGTTTTATAGCAATGGTTCAAGAGCAGGCTTGCTGGTAAGGATTAGAGTGCGTGCAGGGCCTGCACTCCTTTAATCTGGTCTCAAGTAGTCTCTTGATGAGCTTCTCTGGTTCCTTTAATCTGGCCTCATGTGGTCTTCTCTGGAATGAAGAATGCTAACACCTTCCATTTGTTGGGGGTTTTAGTTCTGTAAAGAGCTCAAAGATATTATGTGTATCCCTTGAAGAGGAACCAGGACCCTGCCCCAAGGCTGCACTATTGTTTTTTGGCTGCTTCTCCTTTGTCTCTGCATCCCCTCCCTTAACTGATTAGCAACTGTTCAAATCTGCCCTTTGGAAGTCAGGGAAGGTCATGGAGGCTGGAATCTATTCCCTACAAACAAGAAATGTGGGACAGGGAGTTCCCTGATGGTCCAGTGGTTAGGATTCCAGGCTTTCACTGCCAGGTTCAATCCCTGGTTGGGGAACTGAGATCCCACAAGCCATGCAGCATAGCCAAATAAATAAATAAATAAAGACAAAAATCTTGAAAAAAAAAAAAGAACAGGGGACAGAAAGGCTTCCATGCCCAGGAGCCCCACACGGTCCTGCTCGGTTTCACTAACATACAATTTGTAAATAATTTTCCCAGTTGTCACGATAACATCCTTTATAGTATTTCCCCCGATCCAGGATCCAATCCAGGCTCATGTATTATGTTTAGTTGTCATGTCCCTTTACCCTTTAATCTGAAACAGTTCCTTAGGCTTTCCTTGACTTTCATGACACCATTTGGAAGAATGTCCCTCAATTTGGGTTTTTTTTCCTGCTTCCTCATAAT